GGAGGAAGTAATAATTGACAAAAGTGTTCTGGATTTTAGATAAGTTATGAACTACAATGAAGATGATATTTAAAGTGATCATTTCCAAATTAAATGAGTTAACTGAACTGTGGCTTACATTAAAACCCATTCATTTATTCATCCATCCATCCATCCATCCATCCATCCATCCATCCATCCATCCATCCAATATTTGTCAATGGAGTTTCACTATGTGCCTTCAGTAAAATTTGTAAGGTCTATTCTCTGTTTCCCAGCTTTGAGAATGTTGCCTAGAAAATTTAGTGTAAGCTGATATTTGATTATACTTTTTATTATCCATGGAGTATTAAGTTCAAGAATCCAAGTGTAGCCAGGCGTTGGTGACGCATACCTTTAATCCCAGCAGAGGCAGGTGGATCTCTGTGAGTTCGAGGCCAGCCCGGTCTACAGAGTTATAGGACAGCTTCCAAAACAATACAGAGAAACCCTGCCTCGAAAAACAAACAAAAAAGAATCCAAGTGTGAGGTTATATAGGAATTATGTTGGTCATAAAGTAGTAAGGAATTAACTATGTACATTCTGGGGTGATGGTCAATATTAAAAGTTGGGAATATCACTTCTAGTAATAATTTTGTGAGGTGTTAGAGGATAAGCCATGACTATATCAAAGCTTTTCTCCAGTACTTAACTTCCATTATAGCTGTTATGATGTTATTTAACCTAGGGCCCTGCCTTCAGAAGTTTATTGCTGTAACTATTTGAACAATCTTGAAAATGATTAAACCAGTTTTTCCTAATTGCATTTTGATGCACAGTCTTAAAAAAATAACAGAGTGTGGAGAAATGCTGAATTTAATGATTCCTCTTCTTCTTTATTTTGCTGCAGGACTGCTCAAGGTCTTTAAACAGCTTTGTCTGGAAATTTATCCCAAAAGATGTATAAGGATCCCAACTTTTATGAACATTAATACTCTTTCTTAGAGTGTCTTTTTTGTTTTTTTTTGAGACAGGATTTCTCTGTGTTGTTTTGGAGGCTGTCCTATAACTCACTCTGTAGACCAGGCTGGCCTCCAACTCACAGAGATCTGCCTGCCTCTGCCTTCCGAGTGCTGGGATTAAAGAGGTGCGCCACCAACGCCTGGCCTCTTGGAGTGTCTCTTCTGAGAATCAGTGTTCATCAAACTTTTGGGGAATTATGGCTTTAAATTTAGCCTTTCTCTGTGTTCAGAATTTGATGGTGTCTGTGTGGAACATTTGTAGTGCATTTGAAATTTCGATGAAAGACTTAAGCAAATAATGAATTAAGAAGTAATTACATTCCCCAACTTAGGTGAGATTTATTTATCTAAAGTGAAGATAAATGCTTAGCAATAATCAAATAAATTGAGACTGTCTAGACAACCAGTCTGTTGAATTAAGGGAAATTGAAGTTAATTGTTAGATTAATTCTATTTATCACTTGAGACTGCACTATGTTTTTAGTTCATTGAAACTGAAAGGATTGTAAGATTTGGCCTTTTCAAGAAAACATCCTGGTTGCTCCTATCTGATTCTCTGATGATCTCTCTCTCTCTCTCTCTCTCTCTCTCTCTCTCTCTCTCTCTCTCTCTCTCTCTCTCTTTCTCTCTCTCTCACACACACACAAACACACACACACACACACACACAGACATATCCACAGAATGATTTATCTCCCAATCAGCACAAAATCCAGCAACAAGCTTGTGTGCATACTGATATACTTGTGTGTTGGCTAGCATAATACTTTTTTAAAAATCAGAAAAATGGCTATTAATACTTCGAATATTCTAACTCCCTTGGACACACACACACACACACACATACACACTGACCTGATAACTGTCCCTGTTAAGCTTTCTTGGTTATTTGAGATGAAGACACAGCCCAGTGAAACTTTGCTGGCCTAGCTAACATGTATAAGACCTAGCTACCATGTATAACATGTAGCACTAGTATAAGACCTAGCTACCATGTATAACAGAGCACTAATAAAACCTACCCTGTTGCAGGGTATGGTGGTATACATCTTTAATCCCAGTAGAGACAGAAGCTAGCAGACCTCCATGAATTCCAGGTCAGCCAATGTTGCATAGGAAGGCCTTATCTGAAACAAAACAAAACAACAAGACCCCAAACCAAACCAAACCAAACCAACCAACTAAACAAGCTCTGTCACCCTCAGCCACATGAATGTGGTTTTGTTTTCTTGGTATGTAGTTTTTCTCATGATTTCAGCAAGCATTCAGACAGCTGCAACATAGCAGGGTCTCTATTCTAGGGAAGCAACAAGTTTTCATTGAGCTGGCATAGTTGCATGGGCTCGTAAGGAAAAAAGAAGCTCATATTTGAGACCTGCTCTGGCCTCATATCTTGATCCTGTCTGATTTGCTTCTTACTCATTGCTATCTGGCCACACTAGCATCATTGTTTATAGCACACACACAGACATTTCACAGCATACTTTGAAAATAGGATCCCTACTATTTCCTCATAATTCCTTTCCCCCTGACTATATTTTTTTCAATTTCACCCTTTCCCCTTCCCTTCTCTTTTCTTTCCCTTCTTCCCATTACTTCATTCTTTCTTTGACATGAATAGTCCTGCTGCACAGCCAGGCTGGCCTTAAAATTTCAATCCTCCTGAATGAACATTCTGAGTGCAGGAATTACAAGAATGTTCCACCATGCCCAACTGAGATTTGTTTTTTTCTTCAAGTTGTCATTGAATTTTGTAGTGATTGGGGGAAGAGTAGAGTGCATAAATGGTTAAGGAGTGTAGTCTCAGACTTGTTTCTTACAGTAGATATCATCTTTTGCTTCCCTCCAAATTGACAGCTATAGTTGTTATATTAGAAAAGCTTCTCTGAAGCTGGACATGCTGCTGCATACCTGTAATCACAATACTCATGAGGTTGAGGCCGGAGGATTGCCGACAGTTCAAGGCCAATTTGAGCTGTAAAGCAAGACCCTGTCTCAAAAAAAAAAAAAAACAAAAATGAAAGAAAACACCTTTCTAGACTTCAAAGTTTGTCTGTGTTTTACCTGATAGCATTAAAAAAAGAACTCTCCTGTGTTTTCTAACCTATTTGTCTTGAAAATTCCTAATTAGTCTTTGTCTTCACAATCAACATGAAAACTGAAACATTAACATTTATTTATTCAGAATCATGGAAGAAATGTTTTGCATAACAATCATTCCTTAATATCTGAGAAGGTTTGGTTTCAGAACTCCTGTGGATATCAAAATAGGAGGATCCTCAAGTTTTGTTTTGTTTTTATAAATGATATAGTTACACAGAACCTCCATAATCATCCCATATACTTTAAATCACCTCTAGATTACTTGTAATACCTAGTAAAATACAAATTCTGTGTAAATAGTTTCCATGTTATTTGTAGAATAATGTCAGAATGTTTGAATATCTTCACTACAAACCCAATTTTCATTTATTTTTTAATTAAGTAATGTTTTGGAGGGCAGGGTCTCCTGTAACCCGGACTGGCCTCAAACTCAAAATATAGTTGTGGATAAATGACCTTGAATTTCTGATCCTCTTGCCTATACTTCCAAGTGCTGGCATTATAGGTATGCACCACCATACAAAGATGACTAGCTACTAAGGTAGTATTTGAAATACAATGAATGCAGGTTGAAAAATAAGTATATACAAACAGGTATTTCCTTACTCTGAGAGCTGAGAGTTCATGCCAGCAATGGTACTCCAATAATCATGAAACACGACATTTTGATTTCTAATTTTATTCCTCAACAAAAGGAACCAACGTTTACTACAGAAATGGGTGATTGCAAGGCTTGGGCAGGCAGGGAAGATACTGTGAGCCTGGGGTCTCCTGAGGCGCCAGAAAGTAAGGAAGTTCTTTGCACATGGTCAAACACAAACTAATAGAGGCATGCCAAAAGGCACACAAGAACCAGAGTTCCCAGTGAATAATTTGAATAATTTCAGCAATAAATAATACAGTATTGGATTATATACCGGAGTACAAAACAAATATCTGTGAGTCCATACTAATGATTGAATAAATAAATGAGGAGAAGAAACAATTCTATATTGATGAAAAATTCTCAACAATTTCTATAAATACAGTACCCCCATAACTTCCTGTTGTTCTAATGCAGAGTATGCATTGCAAGTACAGTATAAAACGGAGAGTGAATGTGTGTTTTTATAGTGGAGAAACCTGGGAAACTCTTGCTGAGCTAGGTGATTAGATTAAGGTTATCATAAATGATCATAATGCTGATATCATATGTCTGTGATGAAAGGTAATTTATTACACTCTTTTAACTTTTCTGCTACTGCTATATTGGATTTAAACTGTATCTTTTATAAAAGCTTTTACTTATAGATGAGAATCTACTCTTACCTTTGATCTAATGAATGAAGTTAAGCATAGCTCCTAACCCTAACAATCTTAGACTCTACTAAGGAAAACAAAATTTAGGAACCATGTAATACAGATATAAATAATAGAGGGTGATAATAAAATTTAAGTTGAGTAAAATCTAGAAATCTGAGTGCTGATGGAGGCATGGAAGTTTTATAGAAAAACATGCTCTTCTGTTTATTTAATTAGTATTATTTTAGTACTAAAGATGGAACTCTGGGTAGGGGGCATGATAAATACTCTACCACTGAATCACTGAATCCTATACCTGTTTATACAGTCAGAATTTCTGGAAGAGGGCTCACAAGTTTCTCTAAGTATGATTTGACTACTCTAGAAAAGAAGATACACTTTCAAAAAGATTACTATTTTTTTTGTAATAGCCAACCTTATGTACAAAATGAATGAGCTAGTCATTTGGGAGATCCTTTATGATAGCTAACAATATTGCTCAAAATTTCTTAGAATAATAGCAAAATCAACAGATTAGGTGTACTGCTCTTTACTTATTTTCTGGGTAGATCTGGTAAGTCTGAGATGCCTGGCATTTAGATGTTAAAGTTTCTTCTCTTTTATTTTGCTTGTAGGGTTAGCTGCTGCCAAGCTCTTGTCTGAACATAAAATCAATGTCTTGGTTTTGGAAGCCCGTGACAGAGTTGGAGGAAGAACACATACTGTGAGGGTAAGTGATTTCAATACTTATAGCATGCCACTTAAAACTCTAAATGGGGCCACTTGAAGTCATAGCACTGGAGAAGATCTCATGAGATCACACAGTTAAGCCATTTGCCCACAAAGTCTAAGCTATTTCATCAAGTAAGTGGCCTTTTCTTTCTTTGCTTGTTTATTTGTGAGACAGTGTTTTTATCAGTAACTAAGGCTGCCCTTAAACCCAGTATAGTTCTGACTGACCTCAAATTCATTTTTATACCTCAGTCTTCCAAGTGCTGGGATTACAGATGTACAGTGCTGTGCCCTACATGAGCATTCTTTTCAAGAAGTACTGACTAGATAGTGATGGCCTCTGATTTCAATCACATACTAGATAATACAACAAATGTGAAAAATTAACTTCATTCCAGTGTTGTAATCTCTATGTCAGAGAGTTGAATTGAGTATATAGTATGTGTGGCAATGCAATAATTTGGCTGGACTAAAAGTAATTTTATATTCCTAACACACACACACACACACACACACACACACACACACACACACACAAAAAAAGGGGTCCTTGTTTATTCCACAGTATGCAGCTTAAAGAAGTGTAGTGGCTCTAGTATGCAGAAGTAAATGTAGCATATCACTGTGTACCTTTTACCCTTGGCCTCTGTTCAGGTCTGGTCTAGCTACATGTAAGAAACAGTTCTTATTACATCACTGCCTTTTTCACAAGGACCTACATTAACATTCTAGAAAACTGCAGGCTGTTATACAATGCTAGTGTGTCTATAAGTAACTGAATTTGTGGAATCTCATGAAAGTACATATGGAGAAGATATAAGGAAATAAGGCCAGAGATGGAAGTTTGTGGGGTATGTAATGAGACAGGAGACAGAGCTTAGAGAAAAGCCAGAGAAACTAAGAAGGATCACCAGACTACAGCCTGACACTGGAGGGAAGAGGAATGAATGCTGGACAGTGCCAAATGGTATAGGAGGAAGGCAGAAAAGATTCCTTTGCTTATGGCAGAAATTCAGTAATGACTCCCTTTGGTTGAGCACAAAAATAGAGTGGTAAAGGCTAAGTACTGGTAGTGTAAAAAAGCATATTGTTTTTTTAAAAGGCTAGAAGGAGAGAATGTCTGCCTAGATAGCTGTTTCTGCTAATAAAAGAATAGCCTACACAATAATAGTATCAGTGGTTTAGGCAGTGAAAACATCAACTTATTTCACAGAAGTTTAGTGGTAGATATTCCAGGATAGTACAGGAGTTCAGCTTTGTCATCGAGCCTTTATATTTTTCCCACCCTTTGTTCTACCATTCTTTACATGTTGGCTTTTACATTTTGGTAACAAAGTGAGTACTGTGTCTCTAAGCAAGTCTTCTATCAAGGGAACAAGAATCACTGGGCCTTGCACCTCACAACAGCAAGCACTGCCCTTGAGAGGGCTAGGCAAGGGCGAATGAGTTTAAGACCGACCAGCCTGTGCTGCATAGTGGTGTCTTGTTTCCAAACAAAACAAACAAAAAAGGAAATAGAATGAAAGAGCAGTACTATCCTTGGCTGAGACAAACAGAGCGTTTCCTTTACCAATAAACTCCAGGCAGACATTTGTGTCATTAGGCAGAGTGGCTATGCAGGTGGGGCCTGGGAAAGGAAGTATTTAACATTTTCAGGCAACAGAGGAGAAACAGGCATAAAAGGGGATTTGGAATGGCTACTACAATAGCTGTGTGATGTCATCTGAACTAGGATGGTGCAGTAGCTCTTTCAGTCATACCATTTCATGCATTCTATCTATTATGTGCATATACTTCACTAGACTCATGAGGCCTGTTTTTATGTTGCTCAGCTCTAACAGTGTGTCCTAAACCTTGTTACCTCATGTGTTGTCTATAGACCTATAGCCTAGAAGCAAGAGTTAATTCTCAGGGCTGCTGAATCTCCATTTGCTTTTTAATAAGATTGTAAGAGGAGGCTGCAGATATGCTGCTCTGTGGTATAAAACATGCTTGATTCCTTTACTTAGATATAAACTGAAATTAAATTTATTTTGAGTAGTTCTGAGTGTTTCCTTAAATATAGCCTCTATAGGTTTTGGTTAAGTGCACTTGTTGCTGTTGCAGAGGACCGGAGTTTGATTCCAAGTACCCATTTATAAATCCAGTTCCAGGATCTGAAGACCTCTTGTGACTTTTATGGGTACCAGGCACACCCATGGTGCCCATGGTGCACACACATACTTGTAGGCAAAACATTTGTGTACATTAAAAATGTACAAAGGGAGTGAGGCAACTGGAATCTCTTCACAATACCTACTTGAGTCTATCTTGGATAAGTCCTACTAGTATTTCACATGCAAGTCTTCCAAGAAGCTCCTGTACACCTTTACTTAATTTTCTGTTTGTTTTTGAGACAGGGTTCACTGTGTAGCCCTGGCTGTCCTGGAACTCATATGTAGACCCAACTGGCCATGAAGTCACAGAGACCCACCGCCTCTACCTCCCAAGTGCTAGGATTAAAGGCATGAACCACAATATCTGATTCTTCATTTTAATTATTTTGAGATAGGGTCTTGCTGTGTATCCAGGCTGGCCTTAACCTTTGAAATGATGGAATCATAGGTGTGTACCCCAACAATAAATCCATCTTCAAATTGAAATAGAAAGCATTGTATGGTAGTGAAAAAGACAAGTTGTTTATTCTGTCTATATTCACTCAGTGTATATGATTTTTCTGTCATTCCTGAAAAAATGGTCTTTAATTTTAGAGGTAGTTATTAATTTATCCCTTAATCCTACTTTTCTTATAATTTAAACCTTTTGCTTATTAAATAGAAACATTAGTCATGCTGCAGATTTTCAGTTAAGAGCAAGTCATATAAAGGAAATGAAATTCTGACATGCTTATCCCAATCTATGTTATTGACTTGAGCTACTTGGCCATATTGCTCCATTTATATATGTCAGCAGCAGACAGGAATTATTAGCATCTATTCAGCACTGTACTCTTTGGTATATGAGAAAGAAATCTTAGAACTACATAGAAATGAACACTTAGCATTTATATTTCAAATGCCTAGAGAGAGAAAAAGAAGGCTTATGAAGGGTCAGAATGGTATGTAATAGAAAGCAAAATCAAATACTTTGAGAATTGATTCAAACAACATAATCAATCAGTATAACTTTGGAAGAAGAAGTCATGTGAACTATTTGGATCATAAAAAAACAAAATTTCAAATTTGATATTGTCACCTGACCTCTTCTAATGAAGTTTTCTACAAATTCAGAACTTTAATTTTGCATAATTAAACTATAATTTTATTAATTAATAAATTATTAAATTTATTAATAAATCAAATTAATAAAGTTGGAATACCAGCAAGGCCACCACAAGGTCAACAAATTTGTTTCCTAAAGCTTTTCATGTTTGTGGCCTCTTCAGCTGAGTAACATTTTCTAAATAAAGAACAAGCACAGCATAACATTACACTTCTTAATGTTTTCCTGCAGAACCCCAGGTACCCATGAGTATTTCTGATTTTTAAAGAAACATTTTGTGGAATGCCTCACTGTTTTTCCTGCTTCATTTAGGATTACTTGCTTTAAAGAGTGTGTCTGTATTCTAAAGAAATGTTTAGGTATTCCCAAGAGTCTCCTTAGTTATGGTAAAGCAATAGAAATTTATTGGTGTACTGACTCCAGTTTTATTCTTAAAAAGATGTTGGAGACTAAAGAATCTTTAGGAGACAGTATTGACAGTTAGTGAAAGAAAACATGAAAATTAGGATATCCCGATTAAAGAAGTCAAAATAGCCTTTCACTGCTACCGATGAAGCAGGATGTAAACCCTGAGTAACTCCTCTATAGAAATAAGTAAAATGATAATTAAAATTCACTGTATTGATCTGCCAGAGAAGTTAGAAATTAGTAGATATAGATGTCGAACAGACATCTCAAAATTAATTATCCAAACTGATTTTTGTGTACTGGATATGAAACCCAGAATATACTGTGCAAGAACTGAATCGCTGAGATTTAACCCCATGCCTAGAGAACATTCTTGTTGAGGAACATAAAACATTCACTTTGGAGAGCTGCTGGAATTTCTCAGTGGTAGAACAGTTTTCTTTCTTTCTTTCTTTCTTTTTTTTGTTTTTTTGAGACAGGGTTTCCCTGTATTGATATCGAGGCTGTCCTAGAACTTGCTCTTGTAGACCAGGCTGGCCTCAAACTCACAGAGATCTGCCTGCTTCTGCCTCCTGAGTGCTGGGATTAAAGGTGTGCACCACCAACACCCGGATGGTAGAACAGTTTTCTATCATGTTAAATGTCCTAGGTTCTCTTCCCAGCAATTGCAAAAGCAAGACTTCTACATAGTAACTCAGCAAATATTTGGGGTCTTTTCTAATACATCCAGACCAATGTTCATTCTGTCCAGAAATTATTTTGCCTTTGTCTTCAAAATATGTTTGGAATTTATTGTTTTCTACTTTTGTTACTGCTACATTAAGGTGGGAGCCACTATCACCTCTAGGTCAGGTTACTGCTGTGGACTGCTGATTTCCCTGTTTTACCCTTGTTCCCTATAATTAATTTTTAGTATCACAGCAGTGAAAGTGAGTCATTGAAATCTAAGTCAGATCCTGGCACTACTCAAAGACTCAGTCTCCTCACTTAAGTTAAAAAAAAATCAATGTCTTTCCAATGTCCTGGGAAGATTCCCTAATTGACTTCCTCTCTTGTTCATATTTTTCCAGCCCAGGGAAGTATGTATATGAGGAAAGGTTTTCAACATTTCTTTTTAGGTTGGGCTGCATCTTAGAACTAAGGGCGAACTGCAAGAAGACTAGGCTATATGTGCATTTCCTTCTAGCTTCAAATCTCAGATAGTGAAAAGAAATAGTTATCTAGTATCATTAGTATCTCATAAATCTTTCCTGAGAAAAATTACTTCTAGAAGTCTACTTATTTCTGCAAGGTTTTCAAATACAGTGACTACTACACAATAAAAAATAATCAGGCAAGTAAGGATAAAAGGCAATGAGCACACTCAATAACTGATGCAAACAAAAGAATAGAAGTACTCCTGACTCTAGTAGTGGATCAGTATTTATCCCTAGTATTGGGAGCCCATTCCACATAGAAGGATACTCTCTCAGCCTAGGCACAAGGGGGAGGGCCTAGGTCCTTCTCCAAATGATATCACAGACTTTGAAGATTCCCCCATGGAAGACCTCACCCTCCCTGGGGAGCAGAAAGGGGATGGGATAAGGGGCTGGTGGGGGGCAGGGGAGGAGGGGAGGCAGAGGGAACTGGGATTGCAATGTAAAACAAGCTTGCTTCTAATTTAAATTAAAAAAGGAAAAAAATTAAAAGTACTCCTGAAAGAACTTATTAAAATGCATAAAGGAGTTGTAGGTTACCAACATTCAATTTGTTGATTAAATCAAATGGATTGATAGAAATTAGAAAATCTGGAAAAAGTGGAGAGCTGCATTTAAGAGGGAAAAATAAAATAGTTTTACCTTATAAGAGAGTTTACATATTTATAAATAATTAGTTACATGAATAATTTATATTTTTAAATAGTTTTGCAGTGATTCATTTTTGCCTAGAAACGTGTTAGAATGTCACTAGAAGCCCACAAATGTGGGCTGATTTAAGATTTCATCCGGCAGAAATCAGGGAATTAGGTTTAATAAATTCCTGGGTGACTCCTATAGCAATAACCCAAGAAGTTAATAAGTTAAGTGATTTGCAAAGAATCTAGATCAGCAGGATGAACTATAATGTTTTTATGTGTTGTATTGCTGAATCAGCTTCACCAATAGCTCTATAAATGGACATGCCTACTGAATTGGCAGACAGTGTTCCCCATCTTTAGAGTGGAAGAGAAAAAGGGTTTGAGTTTCAAGTGAACATTATAAATGACATGCAAGACACAACTAAATTAGCAACATAAACATGATTTTTCATGATGAAAATATTTCTTGACTACAAAGTTTAAATAAAATCTTCACTTTTCCTCTTTCTGCAGAATGAGCACGTTTCATGGGTAGATGTTGGCGGAGCCTATGTGGGACCAACCCAGAACAGAATCTTACGCTTGTCTAAAGAGCTAGGCATAGAGACTTATAAAGTGAATGTCAATGAGCGTCTGGTTCAGTATGTCAAGGTAAGCCTGACTTTTTATTTGTATGTCCAATGCATGAACACTTTATTTGAAAAAGATTTGGTTTATTTGTGATTTTTTCTCCTTTTTAAAGTTTATTTTTAAATTCTTTCATTGTGTGTTTTCATTTTACAAGGTGTGATGTATGTTACATAAGTGTATTGTCATATAAGCATTTATTATATGTTGAACATGTTCCTTCTCATACTCTTCCACCTTCCTTTCTCCCCCCTCCCATTAGCCTTCTTTGTACCCCTAGTTTTGCTTCTACTTTCATAATTGTAAGTATATGTATAAAATCTAGGAACTACAAATAAGATAAAAATAATGATTTTCTTAATATAATTGTCTTCAGCTGTATAAAATTTTCACCATTTCATTGTTCTGTATAGCTGAAAAATCCCATTATTTATATATGCCATATTTTCTTTATCAATTCCTGTGATGTCTACGTTGGTTCCATAATTTAGCTACAATGAATAATGCTGTAATATTTATGTGTAAATATTTTTGTGATATTTTGATAAGGAGTCATTTGGTTAAATACCCAGGAATGGTAGATGTGGGCCTTATAGTAGATCTAATATTAGTTTTTTTTTTTTGCAAGATCTCTATACTGATTTCCATAGTAACTAGAGTAGTTTACATTCTTACCAGACTGGTATATAAATGTTTCTTTTGCCCACATCCTTCCCATGATTTTTTATTTGTTTTTTAATGATGGCCATTCTTGCAATAATGAGATGGAATCCCAATGTAATTTTCATCTCTAATGGTTATTGTGTTTCATCTTTTAAAAACTTATTTGTTTATGCCATTAGTCAGTTTATTGATTGAATTCTTTAATTTTTATTGTCTACATTTTTGTATTTTTTATATATTCCAAATATTAACTTTGTATAAGATAGGCAGAAGCTTTTTGCTCACTGAAAATGTTTTTTTTTCATGTTTAGTATATTCTGGTCATGGTTTCTTCTCTTTCATTTCCTCCTAGATCTCCATACATCCCCATCCATCCAACTCCACACTTTCTCTCTCTCTTTAGAAAACAAGGAGATAAATAAAATAAAGCAGAATTTAGGGAAGAAAAGAAAATGCATAAGAAACACACACATACACACAAATATAAACATCAGAAACTGTAATATACAAGCAAAATACCAGTAAGATAAATGCCCAAACAAGCAACACATGAGACAAAAAGCAATCTACAAATACCATTGCTGGACATGAGGCCCACCCTTACTTATAGATCCAGTGAGATAACACTGGAATAAACTAAGTTTTCCTTTGCAAGCAGCTGATTAGAGTAGCTTCTTAGAGAGTGGGGTTCATGTCCACTTCCCGCTCTCAGCACTGCACCATCTGGCTTGTATCTGTGCAGGCCTAGCAGAAGCTTTTTTTTTATTTCATGAGGCTTCCATTTGACAGTGTTGGCATTGTTTTCTTAATAACTGAAATCCTATTTAGAAAATCCCTAAATATATGTAAACCTTGAAGTGTTTCTCTACTTTTTTGTAACAATTTTCAAAGTCTCAGGTCTTTTATCCTACCTTAGTTACCTTTATGTTGCTGTGACAAAACACCATGACCAAGGTCAGTTATGAAAGAAAGCATTTAATTGGGCTTATGGTTTCAGAGAGTTAGAGTCTTTGATAGTGGAACAAAGAAATGGTGGCAGGAATAGTTGAGAGCTTACTTCTGAATCTGCAAGCAGGAGGCAGAGATAGAGAGACGGAGCAAGTACACTGAGAATGGCACAAGTCTTGAAAATTCAAAACCCATTGTTAGTGACACATATCCTCCAACAAAGCCACACCTCTTAATACTTCCCAAACAGTTCCATCAACTGAGGACCTAGTATTCAAACATATGAGCCTATAGGGCCATTCTCCAAAGTAAATTCTGCGAATAAATGTAACCTTTTAATTGTCACCACCTGTAAAATCAAAAAGCAAATTATATACTTCCAAAGTATGATGCCACAGAATATATTTTACTGTTCAAAAAGGGATGAATCAGGGCACAGCGAAGAAATACTGGACCAAAGAAATATTGAACCCCAGCAAGGTAAACTGCAAATCATGTAGTTCCATGTCTGATGTCAAAGAGCTTAGATAGCTCCATCTTGCTAGCCTTGCTGCCTGCAAAGATACAGCTTTTTTCTCAAACACGCAGCTCTCCTTTGCAGATATCTTGTGGCTCTGGCACTTGTAAAATTTTGGAGATTCCAACAAATCCAAGTTTCACTTTAACATCTTTATAGAGTTTCTCAGGTAATCCTTGCAGGGGCTCTCCTGCCCCACTCTTGGCCTCAGCAGCTCTCCTTAACCATGGAGGAAGATCCTCAACTTTTTACTGTATGTATCCTTGATTCTAAAAGCCAGAACCATGTGGACAACACTGCCTAAGTTTAACTACCAACTTAGGGTGGACCAAGCATCTTTGAATCACATTTGTAGAATCTTTGGTTTGTTGTTGATTTTTAGGAGCAAAACATTCCTTAGGCCTTTTGTTTTCACAAGTTGGAATCTTAGCTTGATGGGGTCTTGTTCTGAGGACATCTCTCCCTTTATCCCAATGCAAATCAGGCCTGGCCTTGTTCTCATCTCTTTCAGCAAAAGTCTTGGCCCCAACATTAAATTTCTTGGTGCTCTTTTTCTCTTCAAACTGTATCTATTGCCCCACTTATTCTATTTCATAGTAGACTTGCCTAGGAATGATTACTAATAATTAAGCAGCAGAGTCAGTATGCTACTTTGAAATCACCTCTGCCCAAGCAATTAATTCATAGTGTTTTAATTTAGTCTCAAGCAAATTCTTAGGACAAGAGCAGAAACATGTTACATTCTTTACCAAAATATCACAAGAATCTTTTCTAGCCTGGTTCATATTGCTCTTTTCCTCTGAAGCCTCTTGAGCTAGGCTTCCATAGTCCACATAGTTTTAAACACTGTCTTTGCCAGGTTCCTGCCAGGATGGCCAATTAAGCCCTACTTACAGTGCAGGTATAGTCCCCATAGGCTCGTATGTTTGAATACTTGGTCCCCAGTCGGTGAAATTGTTTGAGAATGATTAGAAGGTATGGCCTTGTTGAAGAAGGTGTATTGCTGGGGATGGACCTTGGGGTTTCTAAAAACTTGTGCCATTTCTAGTGTGTTCTCTGTGTCCTACTTTCAATCAAGATGTGAGCTCTCAGCTTTTATCTAATCACCTCACATTGATCCGCCATATGGATTCTAACCCTCTGAAATGGTAATATCAACCAAATGGTTTCTTTAATAAGCTCTCTTAGTCTTGGTGTTTTGTTATAGCAATAGAAAAGTAACTATGATACCTACTATAAGCCTCTCAGACTGTATCCTACTCTGCTTCCTAATGAATTTGCATGACACAAGCGATGGAGTTGCCTGGACAGACAGACAGACAGACAGACAGACACACACACACACACACACACACACACACACACACATTTCCATAGTAACAAGCAACTCCCAAGTCACCTAAGAGTCAGTTCTAAAGGCCTCAAAAAACACAATATGAGGCCATTCTAGGTTTTGAATTGGTTCTTCTGCATTCTCAGCCATTGTGTGTTTGAATACTTTGTTCATTTGCTTTGTACCTGGCTCTTCCTCTTGGAAAGTATAGCTTGGTTGTGCATTTCCTAGTGTTCAAAGAAGAGATTGTTTAAACTCAGCTCCTCAGATCCACCTAAGAAACAATGCCCTTTTCCACTGTTATTGTTTCTCACTTAAGCCAAACATGTAGTGACTGGAACCTAGAAAAACATGCTTGAGAAATTAACTTTATAATCTGTTATTGTAGGTCGCTTCCTGAAATTAAGGGGTCATTTGCTCATACCAAATGACAGGATTTCCATACCAGCCACCACACCTCTTTGTAAAAGCCACATCTTCCCCTGACTGTATGCAATCATATTATGTCTGGAAGCTAAAGCATTGGGAGTTTCCTAGGAATTAAGGACACTTGTGATCTATGCACGTAATAGACAACCAAGAGGTCAGAAATTTTAGCAAATTTGGTAAACACCTGGCTTGAGATGCCTAGGAGTGTGTAACAGTAACAGGTGAGAATATAAACAAGTAGCCTTTAGAAAGAGCTCAGAGGTTGGGGGTGAGATTGGGGATTGGTGGGGGGCATTGGAGGACAGGAGGGAGAAGGAACTGGGATTGGTATGTAAAATAAGATTGTTTTTAATTTAAATAAAAGAGACAATACAAGCTCAGAGGTTAAGAGAAGATCAAAAAAGTATTAAGAGGTTTCATAAGGTGGTGACAGCTGAGGCTATCTCAGGGGCAGAGCATTTGCATAGTATGCATGAGGCCCTAGATTCAATCTCCAGCATCATAAAGGTATTATACAAAATATTTTGAAATGTTGGCTTCTTTAGCATATAGTCAAATCACTTTCCTAGTTTCTTATTTCTACAAAATATGGCATTTTCCCAGCCAAATGAATAACGAGAACAGTAAAAATAATAGCAGCTCCCATTTACAGAAACGTTTTACATTTTCACATTTAATGTGAAAAGGGAAACCAAATCTTTAGTGCTCAACTATTTAAATAGTCATGGTAACCTACTCTGCATTTCAACTGCAAAGTGTGATAACTAACCTGGAAGCCAGTTGAGCAGACTTGTCTGCATGCATTCTTCCTGTGAGTCAGGTGCTGAAAGATCTCTGTTGTTCCTAGAGGCTAACAAGAACGAACTAAGTCCTTTTTATGTATGACTTCATTATACTTTTCTAACTGTCACCTAGGCTGTCATGATTTTCCCCCTCCTATGGATAAGACGACGGAGGTTCAGTGAAACAGAGTGACTTGACAAAGCTATAAAATAGTAACAGTCTACTAATCCCTGAAAGCATGATCTTCTTTACTTCACTATATATTCCAAGAAATGAAACTTAGGTAGTGGATAGAGGAGCACTGGGCCTCTTCTGTTTGTAAAACATCTCACCATCAGTCTCAGTGAAGAC